TCTCTCTCTCTCTCTCTCTCTCTCACACACACACACACACACACACACACACACACACACACACACACACTTGCACACAGTGACCAGAATATCCTTTAAATCGGAGACCCTAGCTAGAACTGTCACTAGGGAAACTTTGGCCTCAGGCCTCTAGAATCATTTCTTCCAACTTCCCCCAACACCCTCCCAACCCTTCCTGTTTTGAGAGATAGGAGTTCTCCGGCAGGTTATGGAGGCCAGGGTTCGACAACCCTCCCGGGGCCTGGAAAAAGAGTGGGCAGGTGATGAGCATCATCTTAAAACTTCCAAAGGCAAGAGGCAGCTTTGGAATTCTCCTGCCATTTGGGTGACTTGATCCCGGCCCTCCTTCTTCTTCATTTCCCTCAGCACCGCAAGTATTGCCGGGCCAAAGTTTTACATCCTGGAAGGTGAAAAAAAAAAAAAAAAACTCCCTAGGGGGGGGGCGGTTGTTAAAAATGCAGATTCCCAGGTCCTGCCTCTGGGATTCCCTGCACCGAGTTTGGAAGGGGCTAGATACATGTGCTTTGGCCTAGCACCCAACAGTTTTGATGCTGATTGCCCTAAACACTCGAGGGGCCTTTAAGGGGATGAATGATTCGGGGTCCCTCCTCACAGAACCCCTTCACAATGTGGGGACGATCAGGCCAGCGGGAGACCGCTGCGTCCGGATGGCTCCCCGCCCCCAGGGTTAAATGAGGGTACGCCTATGTGGGTTGTGAAAAGCCGCCGAGTTTGGGATGGGGAGGGCTGAAGAAGGACAGCCAAGGTCCGAGAGGCTGCTGCGGAAGGCTGTCCGCCAACTGTGAGTAGCCGAGACCAGACGACCGAGTGGAAGGGAAGGGGAGGGCCCACAGGCTCCGGCCCCGGAAATCCGATCCCTTTAGGACCCAGTGGTGCCAGTCCCCCAGCGGCGGCGGCGAGAAGGGCAGCCGCTCGGTCTCCGGCAGCCGCGGTTCGGGCTGAGCTAGAGAAAGACCGAGGCTCGGGGCGCGGGGGGGAGGGAGGGAGGGAGGGAGGCGCGGCGGAGCGGCCCGGGTCAGCGGAGCAGCCACGGGCGCGGGGATGCCGGGCACCCCGAGAGCCAAGGCCACCGGCCGGAGTAGGGGGCGCCCGCGCCGCCAGCCCCGCTGACACCGCCTCGGAGGATGTGAGCCGGCGCCGCGGCCGCTGCTTCGCGGGCTGGGCGCGCGGTCCCAGCGGCTCCAGCCAGCCTCCGCTTCTCCAATTTGGGTGGGGGCGACCGCACCAGGCCGCTCGAGCTTTCGAAGGGGGCTGGCTGTCTTTGGCAGCTTGGTTGGGGGAGGCGACCCACACAGGGCGCTCGGAGATTTTTTTTTTTTTTTTTTTCCCCTTTAGAGCAGGGTTAACTGTTTTTTGGCAGCTTGGTTTCTGGGGGACTCTATAGAAGGCCTTTCGGGATTTCTTTCTTTGGGGGGAGGGGGCGGTGGTCCCGACTTGGCCAGCCGCCTGCTGGAGGGGGGCAGCGGGGAGCGGGGGGATGCGAACCCGGCTCCCCCCACCATGATGAAGACGGAGCCTCGGGGGCCCGGGGGTCCCCTCCGGAGCGCCTCCCCGCACCGCAGCGCCTACGAAGCGGGCATCCAGGCACTGAAGCCTTCCGATGCGCCCGGGCCCGACGAGGCACCCAAGGCGGCCCACCATAAGAAATATGGCTCCAACGTCCACCGCATCAAAAGTATGTTCCTGCAGATGGGCACCACCGCGGGCCCGCCGGGTGAGGCGGGAGGCGGCGCAGGCATGGCCGAGGCCCCGCGGGCGTCCGATCGCGGCGTGCGCCTGTCCCTGCCGCGGGCCAGCAGCCTGAACGAGAACGTGGACCACAGCGCCCTGCTCAAACTGGGCACCAGCGTGTCTGAGCGCGTGAGCCGCTTCGACTCCAAGCCCGCGCCCTCGGCGCAGCCGGCTCCGCCGCCGCACCCGCCGTCCCGGCTGCAGGAGACGCGGAAGCTGTTCGAACGGAGCGTCCCCGCGGCCACGGGTGGCGACAAGGAGGCCGCGGCGCGGCGGCTGCTGAGACAGGAGCGCGCCGGCCTGCAGGACCGGAAGCTGGACGTCGTGGTGCGCTTCAACGGCAGCACCGAGGCCCTGGACAAGCTGGATGCTGACGCCGTGTCGCCGACGGTCAGCCAGCTCAGTGCGGTCTTCGAGAAAGCCGACTCGAGGACCGGCCTTCACCGTGCGCCCGGGCCCCCCCGGGCCGCGGGGGCGCCCCAGGTCAACTCGAAGCTGGTCAGTAAGCGGTCCCGGGTGTTCCAGCCGCCGCCGCCGCCTCCTGCCCCGTCGGGGGATGCCGCGACCGAGAAGGAGCGTGGCCCTGGAGGGCAGCAGCCCCCACAGCACCGAGTGGCCCCTGCCCGACCGCCGCCAAAGCCGCGGGAGGTGCGCAAGATCAAGCCGGTGGAGGTTGAGGAAAGTGGGGAGTCTGAGGCCGAGTCGGCTCCCGGGGAAGTGATCCAGGCTGAGGTGACCGTCCATGCAGCCTTGGAGAATGGCAGCACTTCGGCCAGCACAGCCAGCCCCGCACCCGAGGAGCCCAAGGCCGAAGCGGTCCCCGAGGAGGAGGCAGGGTCAGTGGCGACGCCAGAGAGGGGGGTGGACAATGGCCGGGCTCCGGACGTGGCACCTGAGGAGGTGGATGAGTCCAAGAAGGAGGACTTCTCAGAAGCGGACTTGGTGGACGTGAGCGCCTACAGTGGACTCGGGGAGGACTCTGGGGGCAGTGCCCTGGAGGAGGACGATGAAGATGAGGAGGAGGACGGGGAGCCCCCCTACGAGCCGGAGTCAGGGTGTGTGGAGATTCCCGGTCTCTCAGAGGAAGAGGACCCGGCCCCGAGCCGGAAGATCCATTTCAGTACTGCACCGATCCAAGTGAGTGATCCCCTCACCACCACCCTCCCCGACCCCCCGCGCTGCCCCTGCCACGTGCAAGTGGTCGCCCCCGCCCAGACATCCGTGTTTGGCAGGGCTGAGTCAGCCCCTGCCACCCAGCCGGGTTCCCAGAAGTTCCCACAATGAGGGGGGCGTGGGGAACTTCCAGCTGTTTGTCAGTGGGAAGGTTTTCAGGTCTGGGATTGTGAAGGTGGCCTGCTGCGACCTGCCCTCAGGTTCCTAGCCTGCTGCCCCGCCCAGCATCCCGCCCTGTCCCACGCCTACTCCGGGACACCTGCTCTCTCTCTCTCTTCCTCCCCCAGACATTCTTTCTTCTTGAGGCTGCCAGAGGCTGCCAGAGGCTGAGACTGGGCTGGCCTGAAGGGGTGTGGGACGTGTCCTCAGGATACTGTTCCTACGCATACCCTACTGTCAGGAGAGAAGGATGGGGACCTTAGGGACACTTCCTGCTTCTCCGATGATGTGTGAGGCTTGGCTCTGCCTGGGATGAGAGAGAGGAGAGCTAGGAACTTCCCAAAACAAAGATGCCAGGGACTGCAGCTCCTCCCTGTCAGTACCCCCACCCCAACTTTGCAGAAGTGAAAGAAGGAAGCAGGCTGTGAGGGTGGCCTTGTGACAGGGGCTGGGGGAAAGACCCTGCATCTCAGGGTCTGTGCCGGGCCAGCTTGCCATGTCCAGGGCTGCACCGGAAAGGGACCTCTGATGTGGCCCTGGAAGGCCCAGGCCCTCTGCGGGCTCCACAGGAAGAGGGCGGTAGGTCTGGGAGTTCCCCTAAGGTGCCTGGCAGACTCATATGCCTATAGCCTTAGGAATCCTCCCCCTTTCCATATTCTCTGGGTACTTTAAAAGAGGAGGGAGGCTCGCTGGGGGGGTTTCAGGCCCCCCCCATCTCTAACACCACTATTGGTGATTGGGCTGTGAGCTGTGCCAGTCAGCGCTTTGGGATTTTCTGGGTAGTGGTGGGTAAAGAAAAGATGTCCCCCGGGGAGCATTAAGAACAGGAGGCCACTCCCATTTCCCACTGCCCTGTGAGCTCAGCGGGCACATTCAGCTTCCATGGCCTTTCCTTCCCAACCTGAGCTCTGCTGTGCCCAGCACCTGGCCTGCCCCGACGGCTGTATTCAGCACACCAAGGACTTTCCCTGGCCTGGACCCTCCCCCCCCCCTCCCCCTCCCCAGCCAAACCCCATGTGTTTGCTTGCAGTTTCCATAACTACTCCTGGACACCAAAGCTGCCCAAGTTTCTCTCACCCTCCGCCTCCTCCCCTCTTCCAGGCCAGCAGAGGTCTAAAAGGTTAAGAGTGGCCAGCCCCCTCCCCTCCCTGCCTGGGAATTTGGAAGACTTCTCCATGCCCCCGTTTCCTCTGAAGGCAGTGGGATCCAGGAAGGAGCAGAGGCTGTGGTGTTTTGGGGGGGGGAGGGTGTCAGAGGCCATTGCCCCATCCCCATGGGTTCTTTGAACAGCGCCATGCCCTCATCGAGAGGGAGTGTGGTCTGGGCCTCTGTCTATATCTGACGCCTTACCCTGATTTTTTGGTAAAAAATAGCACATGATTTGGAGCACTGCTCCGGACTCCCTGGTGACTCTGAAGCAGGCTGGCCACTAGCGCGAGAGCCAAGGCAGTGCAGAGGCTGCGCGTCTGACTTTTGGCCTTTCTGGGGCGTTCCTCCTCCCCACCCTGGCCCAGGGCCCCAGGCTTTTCTCCATTACCACTCACTGCTATAGTGATTCCGAAACCAGGGTTCTCTGCCCTCCCTGACCCAGTTGTCACCGTTATGGAGGTAGGTGGGGGTATCTGCTCAGGGCAGAGAATACAATTCCAAACTGTCAGCGGAGGAGATAGCTGAGGCCCAGGGCCTTCTGATAGCAAGCAGGAGTGACTGGTGGTCTGAGGCCTCCGAGCCTGAGGCCGGCCTGGGCTTCCTGCAAGGAGCAGGCTGCAAAAGGTGAACAGGTTGTAGACAGGAGACGAGGCCCAGGTCAGTGTTTTGGAAGTCAAAGTGGGGTGTGTATGATGAGAAGTGGGGAGGGGTTGGTCAACTTGGAGAGGGTTGGGGGATGCTGTCTCCTGGGCATAGGGTAAAGGCCAGAGGCCTCCAATGAAAAAGTGGGCCAGGGTCAATTTGCTGACCCAGAC